TATATATATGTGTGTGTGTGTGTGTGTGTGTGTGTGTGTGTGTGTGTGTGTGTGTGTGTGTGTGTGTGTGTGTGTGTATATATAAAACATTTACAACAAAATAATGTATGCATTTCCTATTTAGTGTAAAACATATTTTTTTAACAGTTTCACTTAATTTCTGATAACATCTGAAAGCCAAGAATCTATTTTTGTGTAAATTATCTAAGTAGTTCTTAAATTTGTTACAACACATTTAAATGTTTTCTCCATTTATATTTATTTATATTTAAAGTAAATTATTATTTCCTTTAGCCAGCAGGTTTCTGTTTGCCTCCTAAATGTCTGTTTAAACAGTTTGTGAGGCTTCCTTTAAAGGTTTGAAGTCTCTCTTTTTTTTGTGTGTGTTTACCAAAAACATAGAAGATAATTTCAGAATTCTAAAGAACGAGTGGAGCTAAAACTTTCTGACAGAATGGTGTCATAGAGGTTAAACTACTTCCTGACTTGCACTGTGACTTTGATGAATATTTCAAGCTTGAAGTTAAAATTTAAGACTTTAAAAATTCATTTGATTGCTTTACTTTCTGACGTCTGATAGACGTATTACTAATTTAATTAATAATCCATCCATTTAATCCAATTTAATTTTATTACTAATTACTATCGTAATTACGTATTACAAAACATATTACTTAATGGAAATTAACAGGCAATTTTCTTTACAAAATTTAAACAGGAAGGAGAAAAAGCTGCTTCAGTAGCAACAAGGAAAACAAATGGTCAAGATGGAAGGAGGGGAGGAATTTATTTAGGTGGGGTTCACATGGCCTAAAGCAAATTTGTCCAGGAGCAACAATGGGTCAACTAGAGAGCAAAGAGAAGCAGAAAGAGGAGGCTTATGTTATGGAATCAGTATCTACATCTGTGAACACAAAGAGCTCAGGGCTGCAGCTTTTGTCCTGCCTCTGGAACTTCTTTCATTCTCTTCCTCTTTTGGCAGGTGTTGGTCCTGCTCTGACAGGTTTGGGTCGAGCTGTTTGCTCTCAAGTTGTCGCTCGTTTACATGACAGAAAAGTGACCAAATGGAGGTCGATTGTTCTCAGAGCCTGAAGAGATCAAACAAGATAGCAAAGATGAAATGATCTTCATCTCTGATAATGCTTGGAAGCTCCTCTGTTGGTCTTTCCTCCTCCTCCTGTAACTCCACTGCAGCTTTTAGATATAAAATACAGAACGAATGGAAGTGATCCATCAAGCAGGTCGAGACCAAAGGTGTGAGCTCAATTAAAGCTCATCCCCTACCTGCGTGCTGATAAAAGGGACTAAACATGTAAGTAGAATAGATGTTGGGTGTGAAATAGACAACAAAAGCCTGGAGAGAATCCACAGCCTCGAACACCTTCTGCTGGTCAGTCTTTTTGATGAAGGCTTATTGATATTGAGAGTCCAGTTCAGAGTGCAGAGTGCAGTTTTTGTTTCTTTGATTTACTTTGAAAATCAAAAAAAGAGAATTGGATATTTAGGAAGAATCCCCCACCCCCCAAAAAACACACCCAGCTGACAACAGCTCCTGACCTCCAGTCAGCCCTCATGTTCCCTCTAACAGGATTTTCCTGGGGCTTCAACACAAATGGGAGATGTAAGCAAAGTGTGAATGTTATCAAGCTCTCCCACCTCTTTACTATTACCACCCCCCTCCTGTCAGACCCCCACCCCTTCCACTCTTCATCCTTTGTCATTACTCTTATCAGAGCCACTCTATAATTCTTTGAAAATAGTAGTGGCACTGAAATGAAAGTACGTCTTTGTTTTGGTCAGGCTGGCGGCCCGCCTCCCGGCTCCCCCGTGAGTGCAACCTGATTGACGGCCCTCCGCTGGGTGACTGACAGGAGGCGTTGGTTGGACAGGGATGGCTGCTGTGACAGCTGGGGCTGCTGCGCAGGGCCCTACAGGACACCCCAGCTAGATTCCTGGGCCAGTTTGCTAGACCAGGTCAGAGCAGTTCTCCCCCAGTGAGCTTGTTGATGCAGATCAGCCTGTTAGCTCGCTGCATTGTGTTTGTCAGCTGGAAGCTTTAGCTGCACATGTGTGCAATATAAAAAAGCTCCTTATGAAAAGATGAAGTGCTGTCCTCATATGCAGGAACTGGTGTGTTGGATTTATTGTGAAACAACTCAGCTTCCTGAGATGACTCATTCCTTTACCACATCGAGTATCTGAGATTTTTTTCCTTCCAGT